AAACATACTGAGTTTATATACCAAACAAAGTGACCACATCGCATCACAAAATAGAAAATAACATTTGTACAAGATTTAATCAAATGTGGCTGAGAATGTAGGGAACAGTAATTAATGGACTAGAGATAACTTAAGAATGGTAAATCTTATAGTAATAGTTCATATGTCAAAATAAATCTTATAATAAGAGGGACACGAATATGAATAGTTTAGTTACTTAACAATTATACAATAGGAAATATGCGTATCATATTGGTCTGCAAATAGTTCTCAAAAGTTACCATTCATAAATCTCTTCGAGATATAACATATAATTATTAAATAACTAAACTATTCATATTCATATCCCTCTTATTATGAGATTTATTTTGACTTATGAACTATTGTCATACGACTGAACGTTCTTGAATTATGCTCTGTCTATCACGATCTCTCCTATTTACATCGACATTTGGTAAAATCGTGTACAAATGTTGTTTCTTATATTATGGTACGATGTAGTCTGTTTAATTGGTATATAAACTCAGTATGTTTGAAATATAATGATTCATATTGCAGAGGCTGTTCTGAACTTAACTGGCTGGGCTAGGCGAAAATCATAACCGACAAATACTCTAGACTGCTCGTACAGGTTTCATGTGTCATTAGTCCTGTTGATAATTCGCTGTTCGCTAATTGGAGGCGTCGTTACATCATATATAAACATGTCACTCAGGCATACAAGCTATAACAGAAACACTTAAAGATAAACAATAAAACTAGAAAATACTCTAAACAATAAGTAGTTTGTGGTGATTATTAAATTCTATATTTTACATCATTAACTGATCTTTATTAAAAAAATCATCTAGGTGTACCATATTATTGTGGTGTGGTCTACATATGTAGTATATGGTGATGGTCAGATATGGAATGTATTTTGTCAGAAGGTCGATAAGGAACGAACAAGAATGAAGCGCAATCGGTATGAAAATGCATGAACAATGAAATCAGAGAAGACGGACTGATATTTACAGAAGGAACAGTGAAGATTGAGATAATTGATTGTTATTTTGCAAATTAACTGTTTACTACTGTATGGTTATCAGATCTTAGTAAGATAGTCTGTAATTTGTGCTTAAATACATTCGATTGTCCCCACTAGTGTTCTCATTGACTAAACTATGACTAAAAGCCCATCCAATGCTTTGTGATTCTTAACGTTACCCACCCCCAAACAAAATCAACCTGTAATGAATACACTTTAGGTATTTGTACTTTACAGAAGATTTTAGACCAAAAGATATTAAATAAAAAAATTAATTCTGAAAATATAACATCAAATTTAACAGCTGGAGTAGTTATGACTGAGCTAAGGTTATTTTATTTTATTTAAACATATAAATATTGGTACAAAGGGACACCAGATACATATGCGCCTCACAAATGGCATTTGATTTGTGTGAGGGCTATGATACTGCCCAGGTGCCCAGACCGAAGCAGATGCTTTTCTTAGGGGACCACACCCCGAGCCTTTCACCTAAAGGTCTGATCCATAAGGCAGTGGAGCATCGTGAGGAGATGCGGTCGCATGGTAGTCGGTGACCAACAGTTGATTCATGCGCCATTTTTTCCTTCACAATTCTGGAAGCCATGTGCAACATTTATTTGGAATCAGGATTTTCCAACTCTCCTAGGTGAACTTTCCGTGTCCACCGACCCGGTTAAACCTTCGGAAATTCGCTTTTCGCCCTCTCAATTTCGTAAACGATAGTAATGCCACGATAAGGCAATTAGTAGGACATCCCTTACAGAGGCTATATACGCAAGGCCATGTAAGAGCATTTCGAGAGAGAGAGAGAGAGCGGACTATTCACACTCTCGACCGTACCAGGGCATTTGGGGGCGAGCTAAAAATAACATCATATATATACTCCATTAACTATATCATCATTATTAGATTATCTTTTACAATAAGAAGAAAAGGATAATTCTCTCAGTTTTCCTTTTCTCTTTCTTCAGTTTTCTAAAAGCATCCTACTTTTATGTGACTCTTTTTTCGACGACTACTTTTTTAAAAATCTAGTTTCTCGTCTACTTTTTTTTATTTCTCTACAAAACAGACATTCCATCTTCATTGATGTAATGTAATTATTTATTCTAAAAAAAATGCAATCAATTCCATTTGTTACATTCTGACTTGTTCAATATTAAAGAATTTAACTATTTGAGTTACTAAGGGATTAGTGTAAACCTAGAAATAAGTGAATAGCTGCTCCATTCTATTTATCATTTATTTGTGTATTGATGAAACTAGTGTAGTGTGGTCTACTTATATCCATATAAGTAGTATATGGTGAGGGTCAGTCATAGAATGTATTTTGGCAGAAGACTGATAAGGAAAGAACTGAAATGAAGCGTAATTGGTAAGAAAATGGATGAACGGTAGAATTAAAGAAGATGAATTGATATTTACAGAAGGAGCAGTGAAGATTGAGACAATTGGTTGTTATTTCGCAAATTAACTGTTCATCGTATGGTGATCAGAATTTAGTGAGATTGTCCCCAGTCATGTTTTGATCATTACACTAGTCTATAAATGAATCGAAGAATTCTGAGCTTAGAATATATCAGCTGAAGTTCTATAGTTCAAATTGTATAGCTTAAATAAATCTACAATATTAAATGACTATCATCTGGTGTTATTGTTGATTTATAAATGATTTTTAACCTGAATGAACTTCTGGTGGAGTTTTATTCTCTGAGTTGGATGGTTTGGTTATAAAGCTTTCATTGTTCATCTGAACGACATGATATGTAGAAAAATTCGAACATTTCACTTTTACTTGAAGCTTGTGATGATAATGTCGTTCAGAAGAACGATGAAAGCTCCATGACCAAACCATTTAACATTAAAAAAACAAAATTCCACTAAAATCATCCACCTGAACTACAAATCTTTCCCACCATCTCTGAATGAACTTCAAAAGTTATGTTTTTTTTAAAGTAGAATTTTGAGAAATCTCTTAAAGCTGATCACCTAACACTTGTACAGTTATTCTATGGTATAAATAATCTTCAAATTTAATCACTAACTATCATTTCTCATTACAAAAGTATGTTAATTATTTTGAACAAAAACGTATATTTCATCAAACGAATTTATCAAAGAAACTGTAGTCTAGTAATTGAAGTATTAGAATTTCAACCATAGATTACTAAGCTTCATTTAGTTTAACGTTAATTCACATATATTGGTTGGTTAAATTTTACCATTGATGTTTAGGACTTCAATTGATCAGTCTCTTATTGGCATATTTGCATCCTGTAAGGATTGCCTTGATATTGTCATAAATCACAAACATTCTAAGCAAAGATGGATAGTGGTTAGCAATAGAATCCACAACGCACATTTCGTCCTATTTGGGGCTCGTCAGGTGAATGTACTTACGTCCCAGAGTGAGCATCAACTCTAAGATGTAGGTAGATAGTAATTGTTGAATCGTGGTGCGAAACCTATTAAAACATATAGCTAAAAAGTAATTTGGTATTATAGCTTATGTCAGTTTATGATGAAAACCCTAACTCTAAATCGTAAGTCTGCTTTCTCACAAAAATTTACTATCTTTTAGTTCTGGTAGATAGATGAATTTTGAAGTCGCTCAAAGATCGTCCATAAATTACAATCTCGCCAAGTGAATTAATGGAGAGCTCTTAATTGCTCTTGTTGAAATACGTTGATGAATGCCCTCTGGAATGGTAGTTGAATTTAAGAATTCACACCTAAGAGCTCATATTTAAGAGTTGCATTAATTCCTACTTGTTGGAATAAAAAAAAAACGTAAATTTAAGTGTCTGCTTTGACCCCAATAAATGATTTTACTACAAAGCTTCTTACTCATTGTGTCACATTTTTATCAATGATATCATCTCTGAACAATAATTTAATGAAAATTGGTTGTAGTGGAATAAACTGTCAAATAGATAAACAAATTTATAATTTCCAGCAGTAATTATCACAATACCATTTAAATGTTTAAAGAAAGGGGAAATTTAGTTCCGACAATAAAACCTATAATTCAGTGTTCACTAATGATTTAGTATAAAGTGAACATTTCAAAATTAATTAAAAATACAAACACATCTAATGTAGATGTCTACTGAAAGCCGAGAAGTACTGAGAGACCATTTCTCTTTAGTATTAAACTTCCCAGAGAGACAGAAATTCCTGAGTTAGATTCCCGGTTGCGAGTTCATGGATAAGCACTGATGAGGAGTCTCATAGTCTGGCAAAACAACTTTCCAGTGTTTTCAGGTTTTTTATGTTTTTTTCTGATTTTGATTGGTTCTTGATTTAAATAAATTTCAATAATCGCCACAATCCTATACTATCAAAGCTCAGTTAAGAAACTCTCATTTTTATTTTAAGGTGTGAATGCTGCATATGATAATCGGTAACATTATTGACAATCACTCTTAACTGATTCATTATCTAGATACTCTCCCATTTGAAGCAAGACATGAATATCTTCAATTTAACTTAAATTATCCCCCATACAAATATAAAAGGCCTTCTGTTTCCATGAGTTTTTAGTTGCTAAAATAGATGAAGTTCCGATAAAATTATTTATAGGAAGAACACTCATCAGGTATCATATAACCCATCTATATTGACTAGTCTCTGAGTAATGACCAATGTCATATTTTTCTACTCTACTCAGTGAATAATCAATGTAAATATACCAATCCTACAGGAATTCACTCCAGGCTTGACTGAATCACTGGTAGTGTTATGAAACAGAGGGACTCGGATCGGAATCCCACATGGAGCACTGATTCCCTCCAGATTGCCGATAAAACTTGCTGACAAGTCTTAACTAGTATCAAACTAATGTTCAAGTTTGCCTCTGATCAAATCCAACCACTTAACATCACATGAAACGCTTATTTATTAAACAATAATCAAGCACTTAAAAACTTCTCAAAGTTCACAATAACTGATATTATCAGAACAGACTTACTTTTAATCCCATTTCGATAGCTTTTAAACGCAAATTATGTTCCAAATCGTTAGCATTTAAACCTTGTAAAACAATCGGTGACATACCAACTGGACGATTTAATGGTAATTGAGCTAATGTAAGAAAACCATCCAATTGTGTTGAATGATGTTGAACTAATTCAACTGGACCAATAAATTTATGGCCTATGATGATTATGAAATTAAAAATTTAATAAAAAATAGTTAAAAAAAGATTATATTGAGTATTATCAAGGTAGTTCTAAAAGTTAAGATCATGGGTCAACTGAAGCTAGACCACCATGGAAAACCTGGAATCACTGGATGGCCGTTTCGTCCTATTGCGGGACTTCTCAACAGTGCGTATCCACGATCCTGCCACACGAGACTCGAACCCAGGACCCATCAGTCCTGCGCGAGCGCTTAACCTCTAAACCATTGAGCCGGCATCCAACGGTGTTAATGTCTAACTTCAACCGATCCACGAAATTGAGCGAAACATCCACCATTGTCTTCAGTGAGTTACTATCTCACAATAGACGTGGTTGAACTCCGCTGATCACTGCTGAGAAGTCACACAATAGGACAAAACGGCCGTCCAGTGCTTCCAGATTTCTCATGGTGATCTAGCTTCAATTGACTCATCATCTCAACTATTATAATTATTATAATATCCACGAAAATCCCTTCTGATATTATCAAGGTATTGAAAATATTACAATTTATTCAACAGTTAAATATTATCGGATGAAATCGCATCGTAAGTTTAATTGTTTACATCCAGTATTCAAATATTTAGTTTGAGCACTGTACTGTTAAAAAAAACAGACCACCAACCAACACTTCATATCTCAGCATAGTGTACAACATGTGGAGTTACTTAGACTAGTAGTGTGGTGTATGCTACTTATGTCAACAGACATAATTGGTATGTAATACCAATCGGAAGTGGAAAACCTGGCAGTAGAAGGTTAAGAAGATCAAGTTGAAGAGAATAGAAGGGAAAATAGAAAAAAATGGTGAACTTGAAAAGTCATACAGAATTTGAAGGACAAATGATGGAAATATGCAAATGAAGTATTCAGTAAATGGTTCTGATATTTTTACAATATACTCTGTAATTTCATATTAAAATACATTGTTTCTCTCCACTTGTATCCTCGTTCACAACAGTAGTGGCCACATTGCAACTTGATCAATATAATTGGATTATCTCTCAGAAAGGATTTAACATAAACGATATTGGTGGCTATTCGGTGGTATAATACACTTCAATCATACAGGAAGCTGAGTGGCACGAGTTGGAATCCACCAGGTGACATTAGCTCTCTCAAGATTACAGGTATACCTTTCTGACAACTGACAAATAACATGAAAGATAAGTTGAATAGCTCTAACCACCACCTATATTAAAGCTTTAGATAACTGTTTGAAGATTAGCATCGTTTCATTAAATAAAAGAAATAAAATAACGTGAATGCGAATGTAGATGAATATCAGAATTAATTTTAGTGCAGAAAATAAAAGTTAGCGCTATGGAGACGCAAAGTATTCATTGAAAAAGTTCAGAAGGGTCCTGAAAACTCTAGAAAAAATCTTATCCAATCAGCGGTGAATAGAAGTGTCTCAAAAACATCTAGAAAGTGAAGAGCCACTTGCCACGCTTCTGATTGAAGGATTACCTATCCTGCCACTAAGTTTAACATGGTTTCAGAACCTTCCAGAAACCCAAGGACATCTGAAGTACTCAATAAATACCTTCGATTTTCTGTACATGAGCTAAACTTGGAGTAAAGTGTCCTTTACACACATAAATCTCTACATACTGCTTCTATTACTACTAGTGTCATTAGTAGTATCAAGTTGCATTTTTTTATGTGTATGTTCGTTTAATGCAAAAAATAAGATGTTCAGCTGTTTATTTTGTTCCGTAACATAATTTATTAGTCTAGACATATTCTCTATGAAAATATGTATAGAAGCCATTTATGAAAACAGTAACTAATACTTTCTCGATCACAAGTAAGCAAGGATCCATTGATGTTAATTTAATAGAAATATGTGATATCTTTGTCCAATTCATATAACAAAAGGGGGTTTTGTGAAGACTTTAGTAATTTTATATAGTTGAGATCATGAATCAATTGAAGATAGACCATCATCGAAAACCTGGAATCACTGAACGACTGTTTCGTCCTAAACAGTGTGCATCCACTATCCCGCCCCACAAGATTCCAACACAGGACCTACTAGTCTCGCGCCAGAGCACATAACCGATAGACCACTGAGCCAGCCAGCATCCAACGGTGTTAATATCTTCAGTGAGTTGATGTCTTCCAAAAGACCTAGTTGAACTCCACTGGTTACTGTTTCTCACCAGAACTCCAGGACATATCTCTTGAAGTCATTCACTAGTGAGCATATGATCATTATCAAAAGTGGGGTTTTCTGAAGATTTTAGTAATTTTTTGCAGTCTTAATTTTGATGTTCACAGTAACACTCAACCTCAATATTATTTGCTTTACCTGCCAACTTATTATCCACTAATCTACTGAGTTCAGATAATCATTAGTTTATGCATATCCAAAAGTTTGTATTTTTCTGAAATTGATATCCAGTACAATAATTTATCAATCTCTATTGGTATATATACTTCCTCTATTTTTTAAAATTAAAGTTCCATAATTCATGATCATAATTTATTGTATGTAGGTAGAATTATTTAAGTGTTTAGATCCTATCTGTTGATTTAGAAGTAAACGGAATAGATCTTCCAGGTTTTCCATCGTGGTCTAGCTTCAACTGACTCATGATTCCAACTATATTATTATTATTATTCGATTGACTCATGATCTCAACTATATAAATTACTAAAATCTTCACAAAAACCCCTTCTGATAATAATCAGATGCTCACTAGTGACTGACTCCTTGAGGTATTTCCTGGAGTTCTAGTGAGAAGCAGTAACCGGTGGAGTTCAACCAGGTCTGTTGTGAGATAGGAACTCACTGATGACATTGGTGAATGGTTGCTCAATTTCGTGAATCAGTTGAAGTTAGACATTAACACCGTTGGATGCCAGCTCAGTAGTCTATCGGTTAAGGGCTCTGGCTTGTAACTGGTAGGTCCTGGGTTCGAATCTCGCTCGCGAGAGTGGGTTCGTGGATGCGCACTGTCGAGGAGCCCCATATTAGGACGAAACGGCCGTCCAGTGCTTCCAGGTTTTCCATGGTGGTCTAGCTTCAATTGACTCATGATCTCAACTATATAAATTATTATTATTCATTAATTTCTCTAATGTAATCTAATCCTAGTCGAATCTACTATGGGATTTCTTAAAATTCTTATATTCTTCTGTTTTTAATGCGATTTGATCTATAAAATCTAATTAATGTTAAAGGACTGGACAAACATGATATTAGTCACTACTCACTAATCAATGAATATAATCACCAAATGTTTTTTTTTCTTGGATTTCTTTATTTTGAAAATTCTATTAATTTGGTGTATGCTATTGATATCAACAGATATAAGTAATATGTATTATCAGTCGAAAGTAGAGTGCCTAACAGTAGAAGGTTAAGCAGATCAAAGAAAAGTGAACGATAACAGTATTATTATTATTTAAAGATAAATATCGGTACAGGCAGGAACCAGATATATATGCCCCACACAAATCTCATTTCATTTGTGTGAGAGGTAAAATATTGTAGGGTCACTGAATACCGAGCAGATCATTGATCCCTGTCAAGGTCAAGGACAGTCAACGCGCATCAATCAATCATACGCCATGGACTGGCCCACGCTGCAGTGGTTATTCTTTCACTTCTGTACTTCCATAGTTGTACCTTAACTAATATATTCTTGTAATAACGTCCTTTGTGTTGTACAGTCTCCATAGCATCCATTATCCTTTGATGCGTCGATGGTTCAATCCACGTAATAGCTGGTCGCGAGGTGTGACTTCAGCGTTAGTTGGTTCGTCACCATTCTCGTCTAACTCTAGTAGGCCCCCAATCATTTTGACATAGATCATCAACGTAGACGATCTTACAATACTGCTCAAACTGAAACAGGTGGTTTTCTTAGGGGACCACATTAGGAGCCTTCGACCTAAATATCTAATCCACAAGGCAGTGGAGCATTGTAAAGAGATGCAGTCCCATGGTAGTCGGTGACCAGCAATTGATTCAAACGCCATTTGTTCCTTCAGGATACTTGAGCCCATGTGCATCATTGGTTTGGAATCAGGATTTTCTAACTCCTCTAGGTGGACTTTCCGTATCCACCAACCTGGTTAGAGCGCTGGACATCCGCTTTCCGTCCTTTCAATTTCGTAAACAATACCCCCCGCTCTACGAGAAGACAATGAGTAAGACTTCCTTGTCAGTGGCTATATACGCGTGGTCATATGAGAGCATTTCGAGAGGGAGAGTGGACTCTCTCCGCTGTTAGCCGTACCAGGGCACAATAACAGAGAGTGATTCATATGAAAAACAAAGAAACAACAAAGTCTAAAACAATTGTTGAATATTTTGCAAATGAAATATTAACTGATTCTCCGATTTTACCAAAATATTCTATAATACTGTATTAATATATATTTGATTACCCATACTGATGTTCTCATTCATTACATGAACATTTAATACAATATATAACAAGTAACAGGGATGATAATCACAATAGTAATCACTATACTATAACCTTGTACTGTATTTAGTTTTAAAAACAAATTTTTCTTTTTAGTTTCCTGGCAAGAAGATTCATAATCTGCTTCTTTTTATCTTTACAATGATGATCTTAAATAAGATATCCAATGTTTATCTGTTATTAAATATCAGTTTTCAAAAAAGGAATTTTTCTCATATAAATTTTCATTTTTCTTTATTTAGGTTCGAGAAAATTTTAAATGATTATAGAATGATTAAATGATTTCATTATTATATGTTTTTTTTTTAAAGAAGTTTCAACTGTGAAGTTGTTTAATAGTTGAATTCATGAGTCGATATAAGATAGACTACTATAGAAAACCTGAAAGCACTGTACGGCTATTTCATCCCTGTATGAGACTCCTTGGCAGTGTGCATTCACGATCCCATACCGGTAGGACTTAAACTCAGAACCATTGGTCTCAGGTGCGAACACTTAATCTCTAGATCACTGAAGCGACATTTAACGATGT